TTTTTTTTTTTTTTTTAATTTTTTTTTTCAACGTTTTTTATTTATTTTTGGGACAGAGAGAGACAGAGCATGAACGGGGGAGGGGCAGAGAGAGAGGGAGACACAGCATCGGAAACAGGCTCCAGGCTCCGAGCCATCAGCCCAGAGCCTGACGCGGGGCTCGAACTCACGGACCGCGAGATCGTGACCTGGCTGAATTCGGATGCTTAACCGACTGCGCCACCCAGGCGCCCCTGAAACCCACTTTTATACCCCCATCTGTATGTACAAGGCTCTCATTTGCCTCTGAAGAAGGCTCAAAGAAACACAACATAGGAATCCACAGCTGAAGCAATGGCCAACTTTATAAAAAAGATTCTTCTGGCTCAGGAATGCTTAGTCTTACCTATATTTTCACACAAAATTCTAGAAATACAATCATTTCACCATAACTGATACATAAATAAATCTTCCCATCCCATCAACTCCCTCTTTTTAATAACTGTTTTTTAAGTAAGCTTTACACCCAATGTGGGGCTTGGAATCTTGACCCCAAGACCAAGTCACATGCTCTATCAACTGAGCCAGCCAGGCACCCTTCTCCCTCTTTTTAAAAAACAGAACACAGGGGCTCCTGGGTGGCTCGGTCAGTTAAGCGTCCAACTTTGGCTCAGGTCATGATCTCGCGGTTCCTGAGTTCAAGCTCCATGACGAGGTCTCTGCTAACAGCATGGAGCCTGCTTTGGATCCTCTGTTTTCCTCCCTCTCTCTGCACCTCCCCGGCTCATGCTCTCTCTCAAAAATAAACATTAAAAAAAACCCAACAAAACAGAATACATATCTTAGTCAATCAGTTTAAAAACACTAGTAAAAGAAAACCTAAGTCCAAATAAATTCGGAATCTAGTAAATTTCTTTTTTTCTTTTAATTTTTTACTGTTCATTTATTTTTGAGAGAGAGAGAAAGAGCACACGAGCAGGGGAGGGACAGAGAGAGTGGGAGACACACAATCTGAAGCAGGCTCTAGGCTCTGAGCTGTCAGCACAGAGCCCAATGCGGGGCTCGAACTCACGAACCATGAGATCGTGACCTGGGCCGAAGTCAGACGCTTAACCGACTGAGCTACCCAGGCGCCCCTGGAATCTAGTAAATTTCTTGAATTTTTCCTCAACTATTTCAGATACCCTACCAATACTATCCATATAACAGAACCACTGAAACTAGTAACTGAAGAAAGACTTAGGGAGCAGTAACCCAAACTGAAAATTGAAAATTTATTTTATAGCAAGAATTCAAAAGATCCCTCCTTCCCTGAATGACTTTATTCAGATGGGCTGGTTCTAGTGTTACCTAAAGAACGCCTGGTGTGGCATAGGTTAAAGATGTGGTTCCAAGTTCGTTTTTCCAAATGCAAAGTAATCCCTCAAGAGAGTTAAGGAAAGCTGTGGCAGAGGATCAACCCCCTCACTTGGTAACTTTCCTTTATGTCAGAGAGGGTGAGACAGACAGACCAACTGATAAGTCTATTCATACTGAGATTCAAAAGTCAATACTCATTCATGAGCTCCTTAAAGGAGCGTCTAACAATGAGATGGCAGACAACAGGGCTCACCGCAAGTGTCCACTGGGATTGGTAGTACCTTCCTAGAGCATCTGTTGAACAGAACTCAGGTTGGATTGAGATCACAGGCAAAGAGCATTAAGATTTTAGCAATGTCTGCTTGAGGTAAAGGAGGAAATGGGGAGGATCAAGTCAGCATGCTGTATATTTATTGATCCAAGTCAAACTCAATTAGGCAAAAAGAAAAAGCGTTCCCTATTCCAATAAACTTACCTCCCTTTCTCCCCATCATAAAGAAGCAATGGTGAGGCAGAGCCAATACATGTGAATCATTTCATGGGAATTTACTACTCAAAATAATCACATGCCATATGCCCTTAGAAGATCAACTCAGTCCAAAGAAATCAGGGATATTTAGGAAAGTGGGAACAGAGGCCAGGGGGGCATAAATAAGTGACTAAAAGGGAAAAAAAAAAAATAAACTCTGAGCACTAGGGCTTGTAGAACTGGAGGCACACTCTGTGAAATAAAAATAGGGCTCCAAAAAAATTAGAGGATTTAAGACAGACATGGAGAGATTAAGAGGAGTCTGCTGGGGGTGGTGGGGGCATCTGGCTGGCTCAGTGGGTAGAGCATGCGACTCTTGATCTTGGGGTCGTGAGTCTGACCCCCACATTGGGTGCAGAGATTACTTAAAAAAAGAAAGAAAGAAAGAGCAAGAAAGAGAGAAGCCTGTTAATGGAATGTTGATATTCTCCTTATTTGAGATGTTAGGTCCCAAGGATGGTCCTTTGTTTCTCTCAGGAGAGAAAAAGAGGGTCCCTCTTACAGAAGAGTAAAATAAAAAACAATGGTCTCAGTCACAGGAAAAGGACCTGCTCTAGTAAACTTAGGGCTCTCAAGTGGCAAGAAAAAGAAGAGCTAGTCAGATTCCTGACTGTGGAATCTGGGACAGCTCTGATGAGTAACGGTTACACTCTTCATTGAATCTGGGGTGAAAAGGGAGCCAGGTAAAAGGATCTGGTGCAGACAGGAAACATTTGCCTTGCTTCCAGGCAGACAGAATCAGTCTGAAAATCCCTGGCTAAAATGAAGAACAGGAACAAGAAATTCCTGTCACCATACCGGTGGCATACTAGGTTAGGTGTTTCATGGGTCCATGAGGGACCAGAAAGATCTTTTAAGTATTCCAGAGAAAAGAGAGATTGTACTTAATTAAAAACAGTTATCAAAACAAACCAATCCATCATCTTTTATATGAGAAACTACCTTCATTGTATATTTAAAAGACAAGCCTCACACACAGTAGTGGAAACACTCCTTGTTTCTTTGTATATAACACTACTGAACCACTAAGAGCAGGCATACATCATTTTCGTGAAAGAGGAGTAACGTGTGCTGTTTTCTCCAGGATTGTTTTTTTGCCCAGTTCTGCTTGCAGCAATTAATTACACACTCAAATGCTATAACCAATGGTCAGAATTCACAAGCCGTTAGGTTTATAAGGACAGCTTAGTTGGCCACAAACTTAGAATGTGCAGCTTTGTTAGTATCAAACTCCAGCTGAGAGTAAAAACTGTCACTAATTTCAATACAATCTGTATCATATGTCGGCCTGCAGCCTCCCCCTCCCACTCTTCCTTTTCTCTTCTCCACACTGCCTCTCTCCTACCTCACAACCAGAATTTCTTCTTTAAACCATACTTTCCATTTGTCTCCAAATGTTTGTCTACAACCTTGCTAGATACCAATGGAATTATTTTTCCCAAGTCTGAATGAAAATAGAAGGAAAATATACCAAAATTAATATGACCACTCAGAGCTGTTCCAGAAAGACACTTTCATAGGAAGTGACAAAAAAATACATTTAAATCTAAAATAGTATTCAACCTGTAAAGTTGTAATCAACTATAGTTTTAAATGAGTTCTTAAAGTTTAAATAATTTTTTAGGTTTTTTAATCAAAGAAGAGAATTACTTACTCCAGAAGAATATTATTCATATCCTGTGTAAAGAATTTTTTCCTTCCTTCTTCATCAAAAAGTTTGGCAGCCTAGAGAAACATAGGATTGTCAATACCGCTTTCAACACATTATTTGTTTCCATATCTATTTAGGAAAGAATAAGCTTCTAAAGGGTAAGGCTACTGTGATTTACTTCCCTTTGGATCATCCATACTCAGTTTAGTACCTGACATGAGTAGGCAATTACAGAGTGTTGAAACAAATTTAGCATATATACCACTGTTTTCTATATCTGTACTTAATTTTTCTCAATCTTTATAAATTAACAAAATTATACATACAAGACTTAAAAAAATTTTTTTCTTGTTTTAATTTTGAGAGAGAGAGAGACAGGGAGACAGAGCATGAGCAGGAAAGGGGCAGACACAGAATCCGAAGCAGGCTCCAGGCTCTGAGCTGTCAGCACGGAGCCCTACGCAGGGCCCGAACCCATGAACCGTGAGATCATGACCTGAGCTGAAGTCAGATGCTCAACTGACTGAGCCACCCAGGCATCCCAAATACAAGACTTTTTCGTGCTTTGAGTATCTTGTGCATTTTGACTATCCATTGCTTTATTAATTACTGCTGTGATCTCCAACATAACAGAAAGCAGATGGCTCACTTTCTACAGACACTGTCTACAGAAGATCTGTCTGATATCCTCTATTTTACACACATTATCATGTTTAATCCTCATAACAGCCAATGACATTGGTATGACAGCCCCCATTATACAAACAAGGAACCTAAATCTGTCAGAGGGTTACATGGCATGCCCCCAATCACACTACTTTTTTTTTTTTTTTAATCCCGCCTCCTTCTCCCTCCCAAATCACACTACTTAATAAGTGGTGGATCCAGGACTCAGACCACAAGCCCTCTGATTTCAATTGTGCAACATGACCATGCCGTACAAAGATACTCAGCTAACTGCAGCCAGTCTAGGTTCTACCTAATTACTAATAACAAAAAAATTTAGCCAAGATTATTATCAAGGGAGAAGCAAATATTAATGCCATGAGCTTAAGAATAATATTTTCATGATTATTGTCACCTTAACCAGGTGCCCAGAAACCAAGGGTACAAACCAAGACACTCTACCATAAGCAAAATTTACTGGGAAAATCACAAAGGATGTAGTTGAGATCCATGAGATGGAAATCAAGAAATCTGATCTAATAATCTGAGCAAGCCATATGCTGATCATGTCAACCCATCAAGTTATTTGACAGTTTTACATGTAATAAATAGAAGAAAATTTCTAAGATGTGCCTTAGTACTTATTAGAAAGAATGAAAACTGCGTATATGCAGCAGGCAGAAATACATGAATGCTGTAAGGAAAACTAAATGTCAAGAAAGAGAATCAAAAAAAGTCAAGAAGGTGAACAGTGGAAGAATATTACAAAGTAAGAAAAGAGTCATGAGAAGCAACTCCTTATCATACAGACATAAGCATATAAGCCAAGGATGAAATCTCACTTCCTAAAGAAAAAATACCATCTCATATTTCTTTTTTTTTAAGTTTATTTATTTACTTTTAGAGAGAGAAAGCATGCACGAGCGGGGGAGGGGCAGAAAGAGATAGAGAGAGAGCAGAGAGAGAGAGAGAATCCCAAGTGGGCTCCGTGCTCTCAGTACAAAGCCCAGACACGCGGTTTGAACTCACGAACCGTGAGATCATGACCTGAGCCAAACTCGAGAGTCGGCTGTTTAACCAACTGAGCCACCCAAGCACCCCTCCATCTCATATTTCAAAGAAAAAATAGAAGTCACAGATACCAGTAAGTGAAATCAAACTTCTTATTGATAATTTCCTACCAATGGAACAGATATATTAACCCTGGCAGGGCTACCACAGAGAGAATAATTTTTGGTATGGAAGACAATGCTTTTACAAGATCATAACACACTCATTACTAATCAGTTTTGTTTCTTAAGTGAGAATGAACGGCATATAACACAGAGGCACAGTGCCTGCTACAGAGCTCCAGGGTTCTGCCTTCAAATCATGACTCAGACACTTAAAAATTATGTGGCCTTGAGCAAAGCATTTAAACCTTTTGAACCTTGGTTTCCTCGTCCATTAAACGGAAGAACACTACGTACGTCACTGGACTGTGGGAGGACTAGACTGCACAGTAGGTGAAGCACACTGAGCGCAGTCACAGGGCTGCCTCCTGACTGGTAACTGCTCTGGGACACCCGGCAGTACCGTCCGTGCTCAGGACAGAGTACAAGTTTTGCTAAATGAACAGCAGCTATTATTATTAATTACATCTTGAAAAATGTGGATCGCATCACTAAGCACTTTTTCAAATTTAGAAGAAACTAAAGATTTTAGGAATGGGCAAAATGGCAGAGCAAAAAGCCCATACTTTGGATTGTAGTTAAATTTCTACCACTTACTACTTGTGTGGACCTGACCAAGCTATAACCCACCTCAAGTTTCTGAACCATAAAAAAGAAATGAGACCCATACTTCCTACACAGAGTAGCTAAAAAGGTTAAATAAAAAACCCATTTATTGCCGAAACTATAGAAACTGTATACTTTTCAAAAAATAAGCACAGAAAATAGCAAAAGAATGAAAACAAAGGAGGAAGTAATAAAACAGAATAAAAAAGAAAATGACAAAGATCAATTACATAATTATAACAACTAGAAGAAGTTAAAATCATTTGTTAAAGGAAAAAGACTCAAATGAGGTCCATAAACAAATTTCCATTTTTATGCTGCCTTATAAGAGAAAGAGCTAAAATAAAGAAAATCAAAGAGGTTGAAGGTAAATGATAAGAAAAGCTATACTATGTAAAAATAAAAAGTCCACAGTAAATCAGACAAAACTAAATTCAAGATGAAAGGCATTAATAGCACAAAAAGTCACCTCCAAATGATAATTATCACAAAAAAGATCTAGTCATCAAGAATTTTATGGGTCAAACAACACAGCATAGAAATAAACAAAGCAAAAACTATGGTAAACACAAGCTATAACCTAAGAAACACTAGCAATAAGGGCGCCTGGGTGGCTTAGTTGGTTAAGTGTGAAATTTTCTGCCTCTCTCGCCTGGTCACGCTCTCTCTCTCAAAATAAATAAACATTTTAAAAAGATTTTTAAAAAGAAATATTGGCAATGAGATACTTTAACACACTTCTCTAGGGGCGCCTGGGTGGCTCAGTGGGTTAAGCGTCAGACTTCAGCTCAGGTCATGATCTAGCAGTCCATGAGTTTGAACCCCACATTGGGCTCTGTGCTGACAGCTCAGAGCCTGGAGCCTGCTTTGGATTCTGTGTCTCCCTCTCTCTCTGCCCCTCCCCTGCTCATGTTCTGTCTCTCTCAGTCTCAAAAGTAAATAAAAACATTTTTAAAAAAGTTAAAAAAAAAAACACACTTCTCTAAGTCCTGGACTAATGAAGTTCATTAAAATAAAATAAGGGTAACTAAATTAACAGGGAATTACAATTAAGTCACAAGTTTAGAAGAAATGCTAAAGAATGAAACAGAAAAAATAACAGAATTACTAAATAAAATCTGTGGGCCAGTTACTGAAAAAAATTAGATAAATCTAATTACTCCCCTAATCAGATATTTAAATTTTAGGAGAAGTTAAGAGAAATAAATACAATAAAAAGATTATTAGTAAATTTTAAAACATGACTTAAATTGGATTACACTAATCCTAGGAGAAAGAAGCAAGTTTTGAACAGTCCATACATTACAATCCCATTAATTATTTTTCATAATAATATAACATTTGCAAATGCATGGATTAAAATCCAAAAAAATACATAGTTAATAGTGGTTACCTCTGTTGGGGGGTGAATGAATGTCAGATTATGGGGAATCTTTCCATATGTATGAAATACATATTTGGTGTTTTGGGGTTTTAATTTATTTTTTTAGTAATCTCTACACCCAACATGGGGCTCAAACTCAAGACTCCGAGATCAGGAGTTGCATGCTTTTCTGACTGAGCCAGTCAGGTGTTCCTGAAATATGTTTTGTATTGTGTGTTTTACTTTTCTAGTCAGGGAAAAAAGGGGACTAAAATATGGCATGGGTTCAAATATGGCACGGGTTCAAATCCTCAAGTAATCAAGAAGGGCATTTTAAGCTAGATTTGGCGTGTTATTTTTAGTCAAAATACTATCTCCTTGAGATTAACTGGGTAAGTGTGATGACATTTATCTGGATTTGCAGCTAGTTAAAGATTATGAATCCAAGCCAATCTAGAGAGGTATCTAATGTGACATGCTAAAACCTCAGCTCTCAAGTACTAGTGGGAACAATGCATGCTTACTAAGGGTGCTGATTAGCTACAAAGGACTAGTTGGAAAATCAACTATAAAAAAACCGGATGTCAATACAGTCTGGACCACGTTCAGGTACACTCCTGCAGTGTTACTATTTGCCCCTACCTTTCCTCTGTTGTGTTTACATGATTTTCTTTTACAATAAAAATTATATTTATGAAAACTGTAAGTTGAAATGAAATAATAAAACAATCACCCATATCATGCTATAACTATAGCTACACCTACTTCCACTTAAAATCAAAGGCTTATAAATATAGCCAATGCCTGAAAGGAAATACAGAAAATTAAAAATTGTTTATATGGGTGTTGGGATTGTGGGTTCATATTTTTGCCTTATAAAAAGCATTTATTGTTATGTTTGTGCGGCAAATAAGAAACAAGGGAATCATTACACTTACTACACGGAGGTCTTCGATGCGTTTTTCAAGAAGGACAGGCAGACCCTCTGGGAGTGTAGGCACCACCTTGGGCATAACCTGAGAGGCATAGGTTGGCTGGGTGGTGTTTCCATTCTCTCCCCCTGACTCAGAGAGGGGGCTACCATCAGAAGCAGCATCCAGTAATCTGTCAAAGTCGAAATCATCTAGCATCTCTAGGGCATTTTCAGCTTCCCGAAATAGTTCATGTTCATTTGTGCCAACAAAAATGGGGAGGTCCGGATCAGCAGTGTTCAGATTTAAGTCCGAGACATCACTTCCCAATGCTACGGCAGTGGAGGGGGTCTTATTCAGAGAGGACGTCGTTAAGTTCATTGGGACTTTGGGGTTAGGCTCCTTCTTCAATGCATCCTTCTCTTTCTGAAATTTTCGTATCATGGCAGCTAGAGAAAGAGAATCTTTATAACGTTTCTTCTTTTTTTCAGACTTGTGTGAATTTAGAGCCACAACTCTGTGAAGAAAAAAGGGATCAGTTAGGCTGTGTAGGATTTTACTTTAAAGCCCGTGTAAATAAGGAGGCACAGATAATCAAAACGGTCATTTCATGGGTGGGAAAGCAAATTTCTTCTTACATCATCCTTTTACAACAGCACCTTCATCATCATCTGGACTCACTTGGGAAAGGTCAAAAGGCAAATGGCCACCAGAGTGAAGAAAACAAAAGGACAAAAGTCAACAGAAAGAAACAAAACTGAAGGTAACTCAGGATTATTAAAGTCTATGAAGTCAAACTAACTACTCTTTTTGGAATGTTCACATTCTTTAGCACATCTATAAAGTAGTCACCTAAAGAATTAACCAAGTAAAGAAATGCACTTATGAGGTGTGTGGGTGGCTCAGTCGGTTGAGCATCTGACTCTTGATTTCAGCTCAGGTCATGATCTCAGAGTCATGAGATCGAGCCCCGAGTGAGGCTCTGTGCTGGGCATGGAGCAAGCTTAAGATTCTCTCTCTCCCTCTCCCTATGCTCCTTCCCTGCTTGTGTGCAAGTGTGTATGTGCACATGCACGAGAGAGAGAGAGAGAGAGAGAGAGAGAGAGAGAGAAAGAAGAAAGAAAGAAGGAAGGAAGGAAGGAAGGAAGGAAGGAAGGAAGGAAGGAAGGGGGAAGGAAGAAAGAAAAGAGAAAAAAGAAAAAAGAAAGAGAGAAAGAAATGTAGAAATGTACTTGAGAAAACAGAATTGCCTTATAAGTAACCAGAGAAGCTCACACAGTACACCTTCAAACTGGTACCCCAGGTGGTTTGTGCTACAAACTGCCAAAGAAATATAAAATCTTTCTAGACCCTATTCTGCAACTACCTTCTGATCATTTTCACCTTCCATTCTAGGAACAGCCATGTGAGGCAATCACATATGTGTGATTTTCTAGGACAACTTTCTCCCTATAGGAACCATGGGGGAAAGGTGTCTCAGTGTAGTTAACACTTTCTCTAGAAATCTTTTTTACGTTCTATGGCATACACGCTTCTAGGTGCACTACAGAATCGAAACTATCACTTGTGTCTTGAGGGCAGGCCCGTGTTTTATCTACTGTTATATACTCCGAAACCAGAACAATGCTTAGTATATAAAAGGTATTTAATAAGTGTGTGTTGCATGAATAAGCCACAGATTTCAGAAAATAACAAATTCATTAAAAGGCATTAAAGATATTTACTTGTAAATAATGAGAATTTAAAACATGCATTAGTAATATATATATGTTTTTTCTTAATTAATGATTCAAGGTTCACTAAAATCTCATGCTTAGGAGAGCATAAATACCTCCCTACATCAAGCTTTTGAATACTGATAGCCCAAAGTTCAGATGTACCTCCCCTGGTGAGGAAGGGAAGAAAATCCAGCCTGTCACAGTTTCTGTCCCTTGGTTCTCCAAAAAAGGGCCATGGAAAAGTAAGACCAACTGGTAATTTTATGGACGTATGGTACAAACATTTCATTCTTATGACTTCAGTCTTTCGAGAAATTCTACTTGGTATTTAGAGGTGATATCATTACCTAAAGTCACAGGTGTTAAAGAAGAGCTAAATAAATGACTTTTTAAATACTAAAACAACTATAAATCATTCACACATAGACTACTGCCAGTCCTCAATCCCCAGGCATCTAATAAGTTTAGTTTTTTAAATTTTTTTTTTTTTTTTCAACGTTTATTTATTTTTG